CTAGCTAAGCAGGAGGTGGAACAGTCGGTGCCTGAACCATGGCACGAGAACCCTGGTGCTGAGAACTGCTAGGTGCTCGAGGGCAATATTTAGCAATGTGCCTCGTGTCGCCACAAGTAAAACAAGCCCTTGCCTGCTGGGGCTGACGACCCTGAAAACTCTGAAGTGGAGGTGCACTTATAGGAGCTGGTGATGCACTGTAGGACTGATGATCGAAATACTGCATATGAGAACTACGGCCACCTGGGGCACTGTGAGAATCTTGAAGTGCTGACTGAAAAGGCCTAGGAGGATGGCCTCTACTAAAAGAATCCCTACCTTCAGACGAGGCACCACTGAATTTGCCTGAATGATGAGGCCTCTTGTCAGACTCCTAACCACCTCCTTGTGATAGAACCATCACAACCCTCCTGGCCACATTGGCCGCATCCTAAAAGAAAATCTCACTCCCCGTCTCCTTAGCCATCTGAAGTCGAATAGTCTGAATGAGTCCCTCAATGAACCTCCTCTCTCTCTCTCTCTTAGTGGGAAGTATAAGAAAATCAAGATGGGCCAAGTCAATAAATCTGGTCTCGTACTGAGTAACAGTCATAGAACCCTGCTGGAGACGCTTAAACTACCTCAGATAGATCTCTTTCTGAGTGATAGGAAGAAACTTCTCCATAAATAGCTGAGAAAACTAGTCCCAAGTCAAAGCTGGTGACCTAACTGGTCTAGCCAAACAATAGTCCCTCCATCAAGTCTTGGCGGATCCAAATAAGTGAAAAGTAGCAAAGTCGACCCCATTGGTCTCCACTATCCCCATGTTCCTAAGAACCTCAGGACAGCTGTCTAAATAATCCTGGGGATCTTCAGAAGATGCACCGCTGAAAGTGGTAGTGAAGAGCTTGGTGAACTTGTCCAATCTCCACAAGGCATCAACAGACATAGCTGCTCTATCATCGGTCTGAGCTACCATACCCGGCTGAACTGCTCCAACTGGCTGAGCTGCTGGTGTCTGAAACTAGGGAGCCATCTGCTCCGGAGTGCGAGTAGCAGGAGTTTGAGCTCCTCCTCCAGCCTGAGAGACTGGTGGTGCTACAGGAAGCAAGCATGCCCGAGTGACACTCTCCATAAAACCCACTAGATGGACCAGAGCATCCTGGAGTACTAGGGAAGCAATGAACCCCTCTAGGAGCTGAGTTGGGCCCACCGGAACTACCTGGGCTGGAACCTCATCATCATACTCAACTTGAGGCTCTACCGCTGGTGCTGCTACTCTGGGCTGAGCTCTGCCCCTGCCTCGGCCTCTAGCACGGCCTCGGCCTCGCCCTCTCCCCATCGTGAGAGCTGCTACTAGGGGCTCGGGCTGCTGATCGGTGGATGAGGAAGCACGTGTTCTTGCCATCTGCGAAAGAACAGAGTAGAAATTCAATTAGCATTGAGAAACCAAACCGCAAGATAGAAAAGAATAAATGTGATATTTTTCTTAACTCTGTAGCCTCTGGGGGATAAATACAAACATCTCCGTACCGATCCCTCAGACTCTACTAAGCTTGTCCGTGAATTGTGAGACCTATGTAACCTAGAGCTCTTATACCAACTTGTCATGACCGGATTTTCCACCCTCGGGAGTCATGATGGCACCTACTCGTGGAAGTTAGGCAAGCCAAATATTGTAAAATCATTACCTTCCTTTTTTTAAACATGTTCAACAATTTAAAATAATAAGTGATTAAACAGCGGAATAAATTAGGTAACCAGAATGCGGAAGACGAAAAACTTAATAATTCAACCAAATACTGCTACATAATCTGAAGTACAATACTACTCAGAATTTGGTGTCACAAGTCACAGATTATCTAAGAATACTACAAATAAGGTCTGAATGGAAATACATAAGTCTGTTTCTGAATAAGTAAAAATAGAAAAAGAAAAGATATGAGGAGATTCCAAGGCCCGCGGACGTCTGTAGGACTACCTCGGGTCGCCTGAATGGACTGAAGACAACACCCTCACTACGGTCCAAACGCTTCGGTATCAGTATCTGCACACAGTGCAGAGTGTATTATCAGTACAACTGACCCCATATGCTGGTAAGTGTCTAGCCTAACCTCGACAAAGTAGTGACGAGGCTAGGACCAGACTACCAAATAAATCTGTGCAGTTAAATCATATACAGCGGAAATAAAATTAGATAATTACAATTAAAGTTGGGCGGGGGAAACATGTTGTGGGGAGTAACAGATAACAACAGAATAATAGTAGACAAATGTAAGGAACGCCATAAATCAATTTCCAGCAAAAGATAAGGAAATAAGAAGAACAAGTACATATGTAATACCGTTGCAGGCATGCAACCCAATCCCACATTACTAAAAAATTGGTCTACGGTAACAGTTGGAAAACCGTCCCCATAGACTGCCAAACCGTTGCTGTAGGGATTTTTGAATGGTTTACCGTCCGTTACATCAGCCGGCGTACCCATAAGTCTACTGGAACAATTCTTGCAATGGTTTGCATCGCCGTGACAATAGATATGTCTATCGCAATGGTTTTCCCCTTCTCTGTTGGAATGATTATTTTTTTCAATTGGAACGGTTTAAAACCGTTACTATATTGTTTATACACCGGTTCTTAACCATTGCCATATTATTTAAAGCAATACTTATGTAAGCCATTGCTACATATATGTTGGATATAGCAACGGTTTCTTTAAGCTATCGTAACGGTTATATTTGTATTTGGAACGATTTTGTAGATCATTTTGGAACAGTTTATGGGACCTATTGCAACGGTTTACATTGTCTACTGGAACACCATTTGTATCCTATTGCAACGGTTCAGGTAGGCTATTGTATAAGTTCAATTAAAACCAAAATATAGCACCTGTTATAAATTAAATTTATACATATAATAAATTATAATAACACTAAAATTTAAATACATCATAAAATGAAACTATTAATAATATAAAATTATCCATCAAGCAAGTAATAATATCCATAAAGCAAATGTTCTACCCCATGAGTGCATAAGTTTAGTACATTTCAAGAGGGTAAATAAGTTTCAAAAAATATTGGTAACAAAAGATTTCTAGAACATTCATCTATAACAATTCAAAATTATCTCAAGTAAGGTCTAGTTCTTCATCGTCTTCATCATCCATTTCTTGATCTGCTCCACCTAAAAAAGAGGATAAATAAAGTTACTATCCTTCAAGAGAATCCGGTCTAAGAATACTCATAGCACAAATTGCCATGAAAAAAAAGAACAGAGAGCTAGCTACTATTACAGAGTGCAAAAAATAGAGAAAACTCTCAGTTATTACACTCTTTTTCAAAAGGCTAAAGCAAAAAAGTGTCTTCTCTTTTTCTTTTGCCATATTCTTTTTGCTCAACATGGGTTGGAATATATATATATATATATATATCCATCATCGTCAACTTATTTCATTTTCCAAATAACATTCTCATTACTTGATATAAATAAAACTCAATTATTTGCAGGGGCACACACCATTGGCCAATATGAAATGATAACGAGTAAAATTAAGATATTTGCTTTTACATCAGAAAGAGAGGTAACTTTCGCCCAAACAAGATTTGTGAGTGCTTCTCCGACAGCCAGCCGTGCCATTGCTTTTGGATCCAAAAGACCTTTTATTGGCTGCTCCCCAATTGAGCACGCACCTCCAGTTAAGTCTGTATAAGTTTGAGCTATAACAACAACATCAAAGAGAGTTTTCGTATAGTAGGAGATATTTTTATATTTTACCTATTCCCCTTAAAATTACCTTGTAAAAAGTTATGATTCTTGGTTTCAGAAAACAGAGGAATTGGGAGACAACCACTAAATTGGATAACAAGAATATCCATCATAAAAGATGTTGCAAAGGCTTTGAATTTCTTGCACCAGTCATTACCATCACATAAGGTGCCACATGGAAACATCAGATCAAAAAATGTTCTAATCCAACAAGACCCCAACAATAAGAATTACCATTCCAAGCTAACAGATTATGGATTCTTGCCTTTGCTACCATCTAAAGAATCCCCAAAAAAATTAGCAGTGGGAAAATCTCCAGAGTTCTGTCAAGGGAAGAAACTAACAAGAAAAGCTGATATCTACTGCTTTGGTATTCTACTTTTAGAAGTGATCACTGGAAAAATACCAGGTGAATTATTCTCACCAGAAAATGGGGTTCATATTGTAGATGATGATCTTTTTGAGTGGGTTAGAATAGTGGTAAATAATGATTGGTCAACTGATATTTTGGATATGTAAATACTAGCACAAAAAGAAGGGTATAATGAAATGTTGAAGCTTACTGAATTGGCTTTGCAGTGTACAGATGAAGTACCAGAAAAGAGGCCAAAAATGAGTGAAGTATTTAGAAGAATAGAAGAGATTGAGGTTGAACAAAAGAGATCAGTCACTGATGTTGAAGATGATTCAGTTTCTTAGTTTTAGTTTCCTTCCTAAACTGTAATCAAGAAAGTTAGAAATTTAGGAGGAGGCTTTAGCTTAAAAGCAGAGTTAATTTAATTAGTTTTGTGATATTATTTTCATTCTACAACCTAATCCCATTTGTTGGACAAGCATGATAAATGCTTGTGGATTACATGGATGTGGTAGGGAAGCCATTGATATATTCACCATTGATATATTCAATTTAAACTGTTATACGTGTGATACTACTATACATGCAATTTGTTTTGGGAAAAAGCATTTACAAATGCATATACTGTTTCTTTTACATATGTTTTTCTTTAACTGATCAAAAAATCGTATATGCATTTGTAAATACCTAATCCACAAATCAGAAACTGCAAGAAAGTTGTTTATTCAGTTTGTAAGAGCCATGTATAATATCTCTCTAAAGTGTAAAGCCTTAACTTGTGTAAGAGATATGTGAACTTCAAAGTAATCTCTGTAGCAGAAAAGGAGCTTTCTACATCAACTAGGTAGGTGGATCTCTGATCCAATTCCAATCAGTTTAGACAGAATACATAAACATATTGCATGAAGCAGATATAACATTATAATAGAGACAGTAAACAGATGATATAAATGTCAATATAACTGTACAAAGACATGATAATACAGCCATATGGACTGCCTAGTGAAAATGGAAAACATGGCATTTCATATCCCCTCTGCCTTGAACCAAAGAAAAATCCCAAGCAAGGAAGGAAGAGAAGAAGAAATAGAAGAAGATGTATAACATTTGGTGCATATTGACCTTGATTGTTACTACCAGCAGATGGTCGACTGTTTAGTTGAACAAGAATTTTTTGTGCATAGGAGGCTTCTACAGGTGAATGTGCACTGAACCTTAACATGTAAGGATCAAGTTGCAAATCTGGGTTCAGACGCTGAAGTCGTGTGATGACGTTCATTGTAATATTTTGTTCCATGGCATCCTTTTGTTCGTTCAACTTTTCATGCATTCTTTGTTGCATCTTCTCTTCTATTTTCTCCATTTTCTGTTGCATCCTCTCATCAGAAGATCCAAGACTCCCTTTTTCCCCTTTTAACACAGTCTTGGTAACCCCTCGTCCATACAATCTCACGCGACCTGGATATTCAGGTCCCATGACTGATGCAAAAGCGTCATCTGAATGACTGCCATCTTCACTTTCCTGAGTTGATTGTATTCTCTCCATTTCAGCCTACAAACCAAAAATGCGAGAAAAAGGAGTTTTAAGTAACTAAAGTTGAATCAATAATTAAGAACAAATAAATAAGCACGACAAACTTTAAATTAGAAATTTCATACAATTTTACTAATAACATTGAAACATGTATACTCGGCCAAGTTTTCTTTTTCTTGTAGCCACAAACATGTCCTTACTTGATACAGTATATGAAGTATTAGAGATTTCCTTATTTTTTTCCTAGTTATATGAAGACAGGTATAAGAATCTTTCCATATAAAGTTAGTAAGTTCATAATTTAAAAAAATAATAAAGATAAAACATCAAACCTCGCAAATTAAAGCAAAAGGTGTTCTGCCAGCAGTGTGCGAACACTTCAACTTATTTCGATTCTTTGTATTGGTTTCGGATATTTTCTGCAAATAAAGGAGTCAACCAATAGGTGATTGATTTACTACAATTGGGAAAGCTTATAATTGAGAGAGTGAGCCTCCGAGTTTCATACTCTCTTATACAGTCTCTTCTTATAATAAACCACCCTATCAACTTAGTAGAACATCTCACAACAGCTGCAGTCACCATTGATGCCCAGTTTTTGTTTTGTTATTACATTTTTCACTGGGTTATTTATCTTGTCTACCTTATGAAAGAGGTCCCAGGTTAGTATAAACCTGCATCTCCAGTGGACTGACAGATTTACTTGTTTAAAACTGGGTAGAAATTGGATAGAAACTTGGCAGAATTTTTCTGAAAAATATTCGCCAGCATTTCGGAGCTTTTTGGACATTTAGAAAGAAAAATAAAAAGAAGAAGAAGAAGAAGAAGAAGAAGAAGAAGAAGAAGAAGAAAAATGAAAATAAAAAGTGCAAAAGCAAAACATACCTGTTGAAACTTGAAAGTTGTTGTTGTAATGTTGAAGAAGAAGAAGAAGAAGAAGAACCCTTACTCGACCAAACTGACTAGTAGTACTACTAATTTACTATATAAACATTTCAAACATAACATGGTAGGGCGGTAGATTGGGAAAAAGCAAATGGTCAGAATTGCTACAATGAAACATAACCAATTTCTGGAGTTCCTAGAGTTTGGATGAAACAGAACTATAGACTGTATATATTGGTGCCTTCCTGAAGTTCCTGAACTATAGTATGTATTCCAACCAAAGTATGTGGTATTAATCACAAAACCACAGAAAGTCAAAAAGCACATGTATACACCAACAACTGCTAATATCAAGCAGAAGTTGATACAAAATAGGTTTAAACGTATTATGCCCACTCCTAGTTACAACAATAGTAAAACTGTAGAATTAGTTTATTCTTGAAAGGACTAAGACCTTCATGTTCGGTACTATTTTACTTTTGATTTTTTTGACTCAGACACCAAAAAATAATTATGTTAAAACAAGAGAAGAGATTATGAATGTAATTACCTTGTGAGGATCGGAGTTCCAATATTTAAGAAGATCCTTAAAGTGAGATTTCGGAATATCTACTGGCCTATTCTCCATTCGAAGCTCATCATTCTCATAGGTTGTGAAGTGAGTTGTCTTAAATTGACTCTTATACTTTCTCCAAGCACTACAAACTGATTCAAAAACCCATGGTTTCGCCTCGTCAGGAATGTCATATGTTTCCTACAAATTTAGTGCAATTGGGTTAGTGTAAGAAATAAGAAATATCATCCATGTTTATTAGATATTGGGAACTTCATACCTTGATATATTTCCACATATCATCTTTTGTGTCAAGTTTCCTCCAATTAAATACATTAAGAGGACAAAAAGTCCCACTCCTTGCCAATGTGCTGAGGAAGCTACCCAACTCTTTTATAACCTCTATAGTAGGACCAACGGGTTGATTATACTCATTTAGAATGATTATTTTACGCTCTTTTCTACCATGAACCCTTGGCATTTGAGTACGGCCTCTTTTTCTTTTTGGCGAGGAGGGGCCTGCAATAGTACAAAACAAAGATAATCATTAATTACTGTTTTTAGTTAAGTTTATGATTAAAATTTATATATATTTGCCTTGTTCCTCAAATTGTTCAACTGCTTCATGAGTGGTAGAATCATCAGATCGGTCATGTACTCACTGTGATGCAGGAGTGATGAAATCCATATTCCCTTGTTGCACTTGTTCATCTACTCATTGTGTTGCTGAAGAGGTGCGATTCCGTGGCAGTTGCTGCACTTGTTCTTGCAATTGAGATCCACCTTCGGAATTATCATAGACAACATTATATACTCTGGCTTCATGCAATCCACAGTGATAAATTATAGTTCATTAACATAACAGGTTACGTGCTATGAGAAATGCTCATGGTCCGAAACGGGTTGAAACCATCACTTGAAAGACCCAATCTAACATTTCGAGCATCTCTAGAGAAGTCTGGGTGCAAAGAATCAAAAGCCTTCCAAGCTTCCCCATCAGCAGGATGTCTTATATTCCCATCATTGGGTCGTTCATTAGCATGTCATCTCATTGCAATAGCCGTTTCAGGACACATGAATATCCTCTGAAGCCTAGGCTTTAAAGGAAAGTACCTTAAAACCTTTGCAGGGATTTGAGAGCTTAATTTAGTCAAAAGACCACCACTCTTCCATCTTGAAGACAGACAAATAGAGCAATTATCGGCATTAGCATCTTCTTTCCAAAATAACATGCAATCATTAGGGCATACATGTATTTTTTCACAATGAAGACCCAAATCTGTTATCGTGTTTCTAGCATTGTTGAAAGATTCTGGTACTTGAGCAAAGGGAAATGTCTCTTTTATCAAGTCTAACAAATCAGAGATAGCCACATTACTCAACCCATGCAAGGATTTAAGCAAGTACAATCGAATAGTGAAACTCAGTTTACTGAAATTTTCACACCCCAGATATAACTCTTGTTTTCCTTACTCCAGCAATTTGAAAAACTTATTTGCATCATCAGATAGTCTTTTCCCTGCTCCTTCTTCATCCCCTGCTTGACCCTCTATATTTCTAAATGTATCATGAAGTAGTCCATCAGTATCGTCACGCATGGTAGAACCTTCATCATCATTGCTTGGATGAGGTGTATTTCTCGAGGAAAATCCTTCCCAGTGGAAAACCCATTTTGGTATAACCATTAACAAATCCATGAACAACCAAATGATCCTCCACCACATTTCTATAATACCAATAGCGATTCACGCACTTTTTGCAAGGGCATAATATTTCATTTCCTTGGGCGGTTCGTTCAAATGCGTTATCAAGAAAATCATTCACTCCACGGATATACTCATCCGTCCATCTCAAGAGATTCATCCAACTTTTATTACCATTATCCATAGATATCCTATATGATAAAAGTAAATCAACAAAACTAACCAAATAAACCAAAAGCATATTAATTTGACATTGACCACTGCTTTTAAGGGTGGAACTCAGAAAGTCACAAACACTAAAGCAATTTAAGACCTTTAAAAGTTAACTTCTTAAAAATCAGTGGATTGTGGTAGATTGAAATAGGATTTGTGTAATTACCTTCTCAATTTCCATCAACCAAACAGTTCTATTTTATAAGAAAAAATAATTGTATCATGAGAAAGTAGGGAAGTTACCAGTTTTAAAACACCACCAGATCCTTTCATAGAATCCCCAATATTCATAGAAGATATAAATGTCATTGAAAAATTACATAAAGATAGCCATAAACTTTAAGAAAAATGAATCAGAGGGAGTGATAGCAAATTACAAACTCTCAAAAACTTAGGTACTTTAAATTTCACATTTATCTCTACACTGGCATACAAGTCTCATTGAATATTTACTGGCATACACTTCTCTAGTTGGACTAAAAAGACTCCTTAAAAATACAGAACTGAATGCAAGTGTAATTGTAATAACTAAACCTTAGTCCAAGTAGTTGGTAATTTCTATATAGATAATTTTCTGCAATTGTGTATTCTATCTTTAGTTAGTTCAATCGATTCTGAGAGATTTTAGGTCTTCTGAACCAACCTCATAAGATATACCTCATCTCCTTTAGAACATTCAATAATCACAATGTCACACCTATAGAAGGGCATGTGGAGATCTACCTAGGAAGCGGCGAAACTATCACTTCGACCTTTTCATTTCCTCTTTGTGCTCTACTTGCACTGTTAATTGCTCATTTTTAAGCTCATTTTCTCAAATTGCATTAGTAAGATTCAGGTATCATTTCTTCAGCTCAGAGAGTAATATTCATAATATACGATTGAAACTGTAACACTAGAGAAATTGTAATATCTACTATATAAAATCAGGAAGGAATTCATAAAATCAGCATTAGGAAGGAATTATAAAATCAGCAGGAAACAAAATCAGCAATAGAAAGGAATCTGTATTCATAAAATCAGTAGGTAAAAACACAGAACTAAAAACACAGGACTAAAGCATAAATTAAAGTATTAAACACAGAACCCAAAAGACTACAACATGAATTAAGAACCTTTTTTCCAAGAACTAAAAAACACAGTAAAAACGTATAGCAATGGTAACAAAAACAGTAAAAATGACCAAAAAGAGAGAAAATTACCAGGCTATGGTGATTTTTGGCTTCTATTATTCGAGCACAAATCTGATTTTAGAATTTGGGGATTTGGGGAAGGCTAGCAACTTTCCTTGATGATTTTGGAACTCTAGGGTTTGATGATTAGGATGGTCTAATGAAGAGGTATTTGCATAGATATAGAGAGAATAAAACTCGGCCAAGAGAGGATTTAGTAAATCTGAAACTCGACCATTAATCTGAAACTCGACAATATATTCTAGATATTGATTAATTCACCAGTCTTCAGAAATTCGATGAGGGATTTAGCTGAAAGAATTTCGATGAGAGATTTAGCTGAAAGAAATTCGATGAGGGATTAATCCCAATATCTAATCTGTATCTGTGTTAGGATTTAGTTGAAAGAAATTCGATGAGGGAGTTTGGATGTATCGATGAGGGGGGATACACCGGAGGTGGAGGGGTTTATTGTATTTACCTATTTAAAATTAGTTAAAAAATATAAAATGACAAGTCACTTGGCGGGCCAGGAAATTTTCAACGGAAAAAATGAGGCGGGAATGAACAACCGTTCCCATAGGATTTTTTTTCCCAAAGCCGTTCCCATATACATATCTATTGGGACGGTTTATAAATCCGTTGCAAAATAAATATCTATGGCAACGATTTTATTACAATTGCAACGGTTTGATGTCTAAAGTGTGCTAATGCCACCCAAATTCTATTGTAACGGTTACAACCGTTACTATATCTACTCTATGGCAATGGTTTTCGAACCGTTGCCAAAATAACTGTTCCCATAGGTCCATTTTCTGGTAGTGCCATTTCATATAGTACCGTTGCAGGCATGCAACCCGCTCCCATTTCATATAGTACCGTTGCAGGCATGCAACCCGTTCCCATTCATATGTTACCATTGCAAGCGTGCAACCCGCTCCCATTTCATGTATTACCGTTGTAGGTGTGCAACCCGCTCCCATTTCATTTATCAACACCATTCATAAAAGAATGCCAGCAAGGGAACAATAGCATAATAACAATATCCCGGCAAGTGAACAATAATATTACAACAACATCCAGGCAATGGAACAATAATATCACAACAACATCCCGGCAAGGGAACAACACTATCATAACAACATCCCGGCAAGGGAACAACACTATCATAACAACATCCCGGCAAAGGAACAATAATAAAATTCTCATATGAAGCACGAATAAACCACAACAGAGTCATAAAAATTACAATACAAGACTCACGAGCATGCTTGACACCGACGTATAGATACTCATCACCAAGCTTATACGTCCTACTCCATAGTTAACACATAGCAAATAAGACACGATTCCTAATCCCTCAAGCTAAGGATAGACCAAACTCTTACCTTAAACTTCCACGGTCAACTCAAGCCTCAAACACCGCTTTTCCTTTAGAATTTGCCTCCAAATTACTTGTATCTAGTCCAAATTAATTTAACAACATCAATATATACTAAAGAATTCATACCCAACGCTTAATTATAAGTTTGTTTTTATCATTTTTCCCAAAAAGTTAAAAATCGACCCCGGGCCCGCTTGGTCAAAGTACGAGGTTTGGACAAAAACCCGATCACACATTCACCCACGAGCCCGAATATGCAATTAGTTTCGGAATCCGATCCCAAAAAGAGGTCTAAATTCCAATTATTCAAAAAGCCTTAACTCTACCTAAATCCCCAATTTCTACCATAAAGAATCATGATTTAGGCCTAGAAATCTAAGAAAAATCTCAAAACTTTCAAAGTATCAAATTTCACAACTACGGGCCCGAATCACATCAAACGACTTCCGTTTCTTACCTAATTTCATAGACGCGTCTTACATGTCATATTGAACCTGTACCGGGCTCCGAAACCAAAATACGGGTCCGATACCATAAATTTCAAATATAATCAAATTTCCAAAAACTCTTATATTTTCAGTAAAACCGTTTCTTTCAAAAATTCATTTCTGGGGCTTGGGACCTCGGAATTGGATTCCGGGCATACACCCAAGTCCCCATATTTTCCTACAGACCCTCCGGGACCGTTAACTCACAGGTCCGGGTCCATTTACCCAAAATGTACTTAAATTTAATTTTAAAGGCTAAATTAACATTTTCATCACATTTTCACATAAAAGCGTTCCGGATATGCGCCCGGACCGTGCATGCAAATCGAGGTGAGGAAAAAAGAGGCTTCTAAGGCCTCAGAACATAGAATTTACTCATAAATAAAGTGATAACCTTTTGGGTCATCACATCCTCCACCTCTAAAACAACTGTTCGTCCTCGAACGGAAAAGAAGTACTTGAGTCGGGGAAAAGATAGGGATAATAGCTCCGCATATCGGACTCAGACTCCTAGGTCGATGCCTCAGCAGGCTGACCTCTCCCCTAAACACGAACAGATGGGAAACTCTTCGATCTCAACTGACGAACCTGGCGGTCTAGAATAGCTACCGGCTCCTCCTCATATGACAAGTCCTTGTCCAACGGGACAGTGCTGAAGTCTAACAAATGGGTTGGATCGCCGTGATACTTATGAAGCATGGACACATGAAACACTGGATGCACGGTTGATAAACTCAGCGGCAACGCAAGTCTGTAAGCCACCTCTCCCACTCGAGCAAGAATCTCAAACGGGCCAATGAACCTAGGGCTAAGCTTGCCCTTCTTTACAAATCTCATCACGCCCTTCATAGGCGACACTCGAAGCAACACCCACTCGCTAACCATGAAAGCCACATCACGGACCTTACGGTCGGCATTACTCTTTTGCCTGGACTGAGCTGTATGAAGCCTATCCTGAATGATCCTGACCTTGTCCAAGGCATCCTGTACTAGATCCGTACCCAACAATCGAGCCTCTTCCGGCTCAAACCCTCCAATTGGGGACTGACACCGCCTACCATACAAAGCCTCATAAGGAGATAGCTGGATACTCTACTGGTAACTATTGTTGTAGGAAAACTACGCTAAAGGCAAAACCTGATCCCACGAGCCTCCAAAGTCAATGACACAAGCTCAGAGCACATCCTCCAAAATCTAAATGGTACGCTCGGACTGCCCGTCTGTCTGAGGATGAAATGATGTGTTCAACTCGACCCGTGTGCCCAATCTTGTTGAACTGCTCTCCAAAAATGCGAGGTAAACTGCGTACCCCGATCAGAAATGATACACACGGGCACACCATGAAGACGAACAATCTCACAGATATAGATCTCAGCTAACGTCTCGGAAGAATAGGAGACTGCCATAGGAATGAAATAAGCTAACTTAGTCATCCTATCAATAATAACCCACACTGCATCAAACTTCCTCTGAGTCCGTGGGAGTCCAACAACAAAGTCCATAGTGCATCCACTTCCGCTCGAGAAGCTCAATCCTCTGAAATAAACCACCAGGTCTCTGATGCTCGTACTTTACCTGCTGACAATTCAAATACCAAGTAACATACGCAATAATATCCTTCTTCATCCTCTTCCACAAATAGTGCTGCCGCAAATCCTGATACATTTTAACGGCCCAAATGAATAGAGTACCGGGAACTATGGGCCTCCTCTAAAATCAACTCTCGGAGTCCATCCATATTAGGCACACAAACTCGACCCTGAAGCCACAAAACTCCATCATCTCTTAATGTAACCTGCTTGGTACCACCGTGTTGCACTGTGTCTCTAAGGACACATAAATGAGGATCATCATACTGTCGATCTCGAATGCACTCCAATAAAGAAGAACGAGCGGTGGTGCAAGCTAATACACGGCTGGGTTCAGAAACATCCAATCTCACGAACTGATTGGCCAAAGCCTAAACATCCAAAGCAAGAGGCCTCTCATCGACCGGAATATACGCAAGACTGCCCATACTGGCTAACTTCCTACTCAAAGCATCGGCCACCACATTGGCCTTCCCCGGATGATATAAGATGATGATATCATAGTCTTCCAATAGCTCCAACCACCTCCTCTGCCTCAAATTCAACTCCTTCTGCTTGAATAAGTATTGCAAACTCTTGTGATCCGTGAACACCTCACATGCCACGCCATACAGATAATGCCTCCAAATCTTCAACACGTGAACAATGACTACTAACTCCAAATCATGGACCAGATAGTTCTTCTCATGAACTGGGCAAAACCAACACCGACACCGTTGTCAAAGCTATCTTGAGCTTCTGAAAGCTTGCTTCACACTCGTCCGACCACCTGAACTAGGCACCCTTTTGGGTCAACCTGGTCATCGGGGCTGCAATAGATGAAAACCCCTCCACAAACCGACGATAATAGCCTACCAAACCCAAGAAACTCCGGATCTCTGTAGCTGTTGCGGGTCTGGACCAGTCCTTGACTGCCTCTATTTTCTTTGGATCTACCAAAATACCCTATGATGAAACAACATGACCCAAGAAAGAAATTGACCCTAACCAAAACTCGCACTTCAAAAACTTAGCATACAACTGACTATCTCTCAAAGTCTGAAGAACAACTCTCAGATGTTGCTCATGCTCCTCCCGGTTGTGGGAATAAATCAAAATATCATCAATGAAGACTATAACGAATGAATCCAAGTAAGTCCTGAACACTCGGTTCATCAAATCCATAAAAGCTGCTGGGGCATTGGTTAACCCAAAAAACATCACCAAGAACTCATAATGCCCGTACCGAGTGCGGAAAGCTATCTTAGGGATATCAGATGCCCTAATCCTCAACTGATGGTAGCCAGATCTCAAGTCAATCTTCGAAAATACCTTGGCACCCTGAAGCTGATCAAACAAATCATCAATCCTCAGCAATGGATACTTATTCTTGATTGTAACCTTGTTCAACTATCGGTAATCTATACATATTCACATCGATCCATCCTTCTTCTTAACAAACAACACCGGCGCACCCCAAGGCGAGACACTAGGTCTAATGAAGCCTTTCTTAAGCAAGTCTTGCAACTGCTCCTTCAACGTTTTCAACTCAGGCGGGTCCATACGATACGACGGGATAGAAATGGGCTGATTGCCCGGAGCCAAATCAATGTAGAAGTCAATATCCCTGTCGGTTGGAATACCCGGCAGGTCTGAAGGAAATACCTCAGGAAACTCACAAACAACAGGAACAGAATCAATAGAAGGAACCTCAGCACTAGAATCACGAACATATGCCAAATAGGCCAAACACCCCTTCTCGACCATGCGTCGAGCCTTCATATATGAGATAACACTACGGGTAGAATGACCAGGAGTCCCTTTCCACTTTAAACGAGGCAACCCTGGCAAGGATAAGGTCACAGTCTTGGCATGACAGTCCAAGATCACGTGGTATGGTGATAACCAGTCCATCCCCAATATGATATCAAAATCAACCATGTCCGAAAGTAATAAGTGTACTCGGGTATCAAGACCCCCAATCACAACTATACAAGAATGATGGACACG